GGACAATAATAAAATTTAAAAATACAACTTCAGAAATGAAATGTTAGGGTTTTGTTTTTGTTTTGCTATAGGGTACATGCGCTTTCCGAGGAAGAGAGAGAAAAGTGAGAAAGTACCCCTCAGGAGAGATGACCATGCTACAATCCCTTTTCCATTCTCCTCTTGGGATTTGGGGGCACAAATGCACACACGTGCACATCCTGCATGTTTCTCAAGCCACCAGGTCAGGACTCGAGTCATGCAGTTAACCATGTGGGATCCAGTTGCTTTAACCACCCTACTACTAGCTGGCACCAAAATAATAGTTTTTATTTAGCTGGAGAAATATGCTGCAAGGGTTAACAGTAGTTATCACTATGGTATAGGATTAAAGGGGGATTTTTCACTATTATAAGTATACATTTTTAAAAAATGAATATTTTTATAATTGAAAAAATGTTTAAAGAGTTAGTTAAGAATTTAATATTCTAGGCCCAGACAGTGGCACGGTGGTTAAGGCTGCTGGATCCCACATGGTTGATGGCTCAGTTTGAGTCATGAACCTGGCAGCTTGAAAAACACACCAGGTGCAATAAAGTCTGACATTGCGGAAAAACCAAATAGCATCTGGGGGTCTTATTCCCGTGTTCATGGTGAGGGAACGGGAGTGGGGGCACATAGAAAGAGTACCCCCCATGGAAAACAGTCACAGCACAATCCCTTCTCCTCTGTTTCTCCCTCCCCTCCAGATTTTGGGCACCAAAATGTGCACCTTAAAGGGATGAGTTTTATGATGTGTGATTTATATCTTTTTTTTTTTTTTTTGGAGAGGTTTTCGCTATATGGTGCGTGCGCTCGCCAGACAGAGAGAGACATAGAGACAGAAAGCGAGAAATCACCCCCCAGAGGGGATGGTCACGCCGCAATCCCTTCTCCTCCATTCTCCTCTCGGGATCTTGGGCACGCACGCACACGTGCCCCGCGTGAGTTCTAAGCCACCGGGTCCGGGACGCGAACTATGGTCGACTACGTGAGAGTCCAGGGACATAGCCATTACGCTAACTGCTGGTTCCCTATATCTTTCTCTTTTTCTTTCTTTCTCCTTCTCTCTCTCTTTTCTTTTTAGGTTTTTGCCATAGGGCACATGTGCTCTCTGGAGAGAGGGAGAGAGAAAGAGAAAATGAGAAATCACTTCCCAGGGAAATGGCCACAATGTAATCCCTTCTCCTTCTCTGTTCCCCACTTGGGATTTTGGGCACACATGTACATGGTCCACCATGATTCTCAAACTGCTGGGTCTGGTACTCGAACCATAGTTGGCCATGTTGGAATTCAGTGCCTTAACCACCACACCACCTGCTGGCCCCTATATCTCAATTTAAAAAACCACCAACCAGAAAAATTTCATCTGACAGATACAAACATTTACTATCTAAAATATTTATGAAAAAGTACTATGAATAAGTTTGATATCTGGATTCCAAATAGCAAGTAGTCAAAGGAGGTGTACTTTTTTTATAGAATGAAGCAAAAAGCAGAAAGCATGAAAATTTCACCGTCTCACCAACAGGTAACTAAACAGAGGTAAGACTCCATATATCTGTATTAAATCAGCAAAAAAAAAATTTTTTTTTGGAGAGGTTTTTGCTATAGGGTGCATGTGCTCGCCAGAAAGACAGAGAGAAAGCGAGAAATCACCCCCCAGGGGGATGGCCACGCTGCAGTCCCTTCTCCTCCATTCTCCTCTCGGGATCTTGGGCACGCACGCACACATGCCCAGAGGATGGCGTGGCAAACTGTAGCAAGTATTATAAAATATTTCAGGAATGTTAGGAATAGCACAGGAGAAAAGTCTGTTTATGAGGAGGTGAAAATACAAAGCTGAAGTTCATGGAAAACTTAAAACGGGGGAATTGGGAATAACATGTTCAGCTGTAGGGAACAGTTAAACAATAGGGCACACGATCGTTGGCAGCATGTGGATTGTATGTGTAGAAGAAAGCTCCCCAAAGGAAGCAGAGCGTGTGTTCACGTGCTCTGGCCACTACCACAGAGCACCTGTGAGTCCAATCCAGACTCTAGTGGTAAAGGTAGAGGTGTTGTGGGGGGTGTGGAGTTTCATCGGCTTGTACTGCTTACATCCCTCCTCACCATGTCTCTTTAAATGGGGGACAAAAGAAGGGACATGTGAATGAGAGTACCTACTGTTCCACAGGCTCCCAGGTTTCTGTGGAGGCACTATGTTACCCTAACTGGATTCTGAAAGGACAGAGCTGCACTGAGGAGCAAAAAGCATGATACATGGGGCTGGCAGGTGGTGTGGTGGTCAAGTGCTGGATTCCCACATGGCTGACCACGGTGCGAGTCCCAGACCTGGCAGCTTGCTTTCTCACTTTCCCTCTCTCTCTCTCTGCCCCTCACTGGTCAAATGAAAATAAATAAAGTTAATAAAAAATAATTCTTTAAAAAAAAAAAAAAGCATGGCACATACAGCTCCAGTTCTTCCCTTTGCCTGCCAAACTCAGGACATAACGGGAATGCCCTGCAGTAACAGACACCCAGGCCTAGCTCCAGACACACCAGTCCACGCAAGCAGAGAGGGTGAGACCCTCTTGGGTGTGCTAATCTTAGACACAGGTGCTAATCTAAGAGACTGCCACTTGGGAGCAGAAAAGGAACCCTTTCGAAAGCCACTTTGCCATTTGCTCCTGGCACTGTGACCAGAGCACATCACTCCTGGCTGCCCCGAGAGACTTGCAGACCTTGGTACTGGAGCCTCTGTCTGACACTTGCTACCTTGTCCCAGCCTCAGTTTGTGAGACTTCCAGGAACAGCTCGCAGTGGCTCCCTCCAAAGGTAGTCTTGGGACATCTGGGGACCACTTAGGGTGATGGTTAGCATGAGTCGTTTTCACCCCCGACCTGACTGCTCTGCCATGCTCAATTTCATGCTATGCAGTAAAGCCTGATGTTGTGGAAAGATAAACTCTCCCTGGGTCTTACTCCCGTGATCGCAGCAGGTTTCCAGTACAAACCAAGACGATACCCAACACTCAGAACATGCATCAACTGTTTCTCCACTCTAACAGCCCCATCTCTTTCACTCAGGGAAATGAGACCCCACAGTGATCAATCAAGTGACAAATGCAATGTAACCACATTTTCTAATTGATTTATTCATGAGGCCCAACCAATACTCTTAATCATAGTTCATTAATCCAAGTACAAAAATACTTCAAAGGGACCAGCAGATGGTGTAATGGTTATGTTGCTGGATTCTCATGTAGTCAAATGTGGTTTGAATCCTGGACCTGGTCGTTTATAAACTCATGCCAGGTGCCTGTGCGTGTGTGCAGGGTGCTGGAGTCCCACATGACCGACTGTGGTTTGAGTCCTGGACTTGGCGGCTTGTTTTCTCACTCCCCAGCCCCACTCTGTTCCTCTCTGGTAAAATTAAAATTAGTCAATAAATCATTTTTTTTTGTAGAGGTTTTCGCTATATGGAGCAAGCGCTCGCCAGACAGAGAGAGACATAGAGACAGAAAGCGAGAAATCACCCCCCAGGGGGGGATGGTCATGCCACAATCCCTTTTCCTCCATTCTCCTC